CCCCTTGGTTCAATCCTCAGTACCACCAAAAATAAAAAAGATGACTTTCAAGGGCTTTACATATTGGACTGGAAACCAAAAGAAAGTCTGTTCACTCCTTAATTCTTATCTGTTGTCATTATTGCTTTTTAGAAACTACTCAAAGGATTATAACCTAAATCATAACCTAAAGATTTCAAAGGTCACCAGATTCAATCTTTCTTTCCATCTCTCTGAGCATTTGATAATAATTATCCTCCTGAAGATTTTTTTAAATTTCCTTAACTGTCGTGACCCCTTGCCCGCAAGGAAGACAGGACTCAGGAATCTTCTCTCAGCAGTTTATTCAGGCCTTTACTCAGACATGTCTTCAAGCATTCTCTCTCCGCTTGCGCCTCCCACACTTAATAAAGCACACCAAGCCCCAATGCAAAGCCGCCACGTGGACCTTTCTCATAGGGTGTTAAACAGTGACGTGCCAACTCTCCCTAATAAGGAGTTGTTTGTCTCAGACCACGGCGGAAGCCGGCGCCATCTTGTAATGGCGGCCACTGTCCACTGAAAAGGCTCACCACACTTAACCTTGGACTTTACTGGTTCATTTATTGCCTGCCTGAATGCCTCCTGTCTGGTTCTTCTTTCTCTCTCCAGTTTTTTCCCTTGACCCTATTACCTTCTCTTTGAGTCTTTACATTTTTATTTTATAATTTTTATCTACTCATTGTACCTTAGAAATAAAACTAATGATCACCCTAACTCTGAATTAGGTATTGTTATTAACCTTAATTTACAGAGAAGTAAAGAAACAGACTAAGAAATTTGCTCAAACACATGGCCTATGAGTTCTTGATTAAATTTGGGTATTTCAATTGTCCTTTTGGGATTTAAGTTTTCTTGTGAAATATGACTATTTTATATGTCACAAGTTATAATAAGAATTGAATTGATCTTGCTTGTGCTTTTAAAAGGTTGTGTGGAGAATAGATTTCAGGGGATCCAGGTAAAGTAAAAAGACAGTTAAAAGAGCACTGCAGTAATTCAAAAAAGATAAGATTGTGTTTGGACCAGGATAGTGGCAATAAAGATGATGATAATTGAGTGGATTCTGGATATTTTTTACTTTTTTTCACCTAAGAACCTGGGAGAACAGAATATCCTTTAAAAAAAAATGGGAAGGACTATAAGAAGTAAATTTCCTGAAAAGGATGAAATGGTAGTGGTGGTTAACACCAGGAAATCAGTTTTGGACTTGCTAAATTTCCTTTATAGATGTCAAGTAGGCAGGTAGGTATATGGGTTAGAGTTATGTATTACGGATTCATTTTCACATAGTGGCATTTAAGTCATAGCATTGAATGAGTTCATTAGGCTATGAATATAGAAAGAAAAGAGAAGTTTAATGATGAAGGCTACAGAAAAACTAAGAGGAAAACCAGGTAAAGGGAGTGTCCCACAATCCAAGTTTAAAAAAAAAAAAAAAGGAACAGCTAGATTAAATGCTGCTAATAAGTAAGATAAGAATATTGAAATGATTATTTGCTTTAGTGTTGAGGGTAGGTATGGGGAGGTTTACTGTGAATAAGAGCTTTTCTTTTGGTTTCTTCCAGAAGGAATGGGTAAGACAGTATAAACAGGATTGGCTACTTTGAATAATTTTAGTTGTTTTTGAAGCATAGAGGCTATCTATTGGGCTGACACTTGACAGTGGAGTGATTGGAACAAGTATTGTTGTCCAGAATGTGGGATTTCAAAAGAGGTTGTCAGGAGTGTGGACTTACTGTTGATCGATGTGTATTTGAAAAATCCCCTCCTAAGAGGAGGACTTCTGGGGCTGGGAGATATGAGGGAGGCAGGAAACCAAGGCACAGTAACTTAGGCATATTTCCATATTGTCCAGAACAAGCTATGTCTGACTTGTACATGTAGGGCACATTTTTAAACATCAGATTTATAGAAGCTAGAAACATGGTTAATACATAGGTGCAAGGTTAAAGTAAGAGCATGATTGGAATTCACCATGGTTTTGGTTTTACCAGCAAGTGTTATGACATAAAAGAAGGGAAAGGGGGATGAGAATGTAAGAAAGGAATGATTATAATAATTAACTATCAATTATGATAACTTTTAAGATCAAGAGAAAAGAGATACATAGAGGTACATAAGATGGTAGCATCTGGACTTAAAGATCATAATAAAGTTGAAGGATTGTTGATGTTGTGGTTTAAGAGAGTGTTTAAACTGAAAAAATAGGAAGTAAGCATTGACTTTTCTAAAGACAAGGTCAAGCATATTGATCATTAGGGTAAGTGGTTAAAGTAGCAATATAACATCATTTATGTAAGTTTTCTAATAAGCTACGGTAGTAGAAGGATTAGCTTCATGGATATTGAAATACTCAATAATTATGGCAGGGATAATATTGGAGAGAGAGCACCCATGGTTCAAGGTAAAAAATCTTCAGAGGATGGAAGAAGAGAGACAGAAGTGATGGTATTAGACAGTAGAATATACATGGCCACTGAAACTAGGTATGGTGTATATAATGAGAAAATAGATTGCTGAGGTTCAAGCCTGTTGTAATATATGAAAGAGGAGTTAATTAAAGGAAAAATAGAACATGAGGACTGGATTTTGCATCTTTTATATATTTATTTATCTATGTATCTATTTGTCTATTTATTTTGGTGGTTGGGCACAATAATTTTATTTTCTTTCTTTATTTTTATGTAGTGTTGGGGATTGAAACTAGTGCCTCACATGTGCCAGGCAAGCGCTCTACCACTGAGCTACCACTGAGCTACGAGTTCAGCCCTGAGTACTGGACTTTGTAAAAAGGACTTTAGGGCAAAAAGTTAAGGAGAAAGAAACTTATGACTTGACGGTAGCAAGAAAGGAATGATTCTACTGACGTATTATAGATTTCTGAATTAGCTAGAAATGAAGAGAAATCTAAAAGATTAATTAGTAGAAAATGGAAGATCAGAGGTCTCAAGGAGGTTAAAGAATAAGAAACTGGTGTCATAGAAACCAATTTGAGAAGTCAATTTTTCATAAAGGGAAATAGTCAACTGTCAGATGCTACAAAGGTGAAGAGTGCCTTGGATTCAACAATTTGAAGGAATGGATGATATTAATGAAAAAATGGAACTAGATAAGAGAAGCAAAAAATAGATAGACAGGGTGGGACATGAAGCTCAGTGGTAAAGCACTTGCCCAGGATGCATGCAGCCCTAGGTTTGATCCCCAGCATCACAGAAAAAAAAAAAAAGAAAGAAAAAGAGACAGTATTATTGGCTAATATTTTAGAAAACTGAACTATGAAAGGGAGAAGAGATTTATTAATAGGTAGAGGAAGGCATAGCTAAAGAAAAGATGAGATGATTGAAGCATGTTCATGGGGAAATAATACGATTAAAAGACTTGGGATTAACTCATGGAGAAGAGTTCCTTAGAAGAGATACATTTCAAAACATAGATAAAAATATTAGAAATATTAGTCTTATAGAATATCAACTCTTATTGAATGAGGAAAAAAGATAAGAATATATTGATGAGTTTGCAGGAAGCAGAATTTTAAGCAGGTAGAGAAAAGATATGAAGGAGTTTTTACATAATTGAAACCTTTTATTTGTATTGTCAGGATAGTATAGTCCTTTAGAAACGAAATAGGGTAGGATACTTGAACATGTTTGAAATAGTGTGCAAATGGAATTCATTTTCACATTAATTTAAAAAGTATGTGTTTAGCGCCTATGATATATTAGGCCCTAGGCTGTGTGCTAGGAACATAGCAATGAGTATGACAGTTTCTACCCTGAATGTGCCTACATTCTAAGAAGAGTGGAAAACAAGAAACAAAATGTCAAATAGTAATAACAATGCTGTGAAGAAAATAAATATGAAAACTGAATTGATAATTGTCATTTAAAGATATTTTATTCTTGTTTGATCTTTTATGATTAAAAATTAAAAGTATTATTAAAATGTTTTCTTTGGCAGCATATTTCCTTTTTATAAGCTAAGGGAAGATCATCCTCATTTTATAGAAAACTATAGTACAGAACACTAGAAAGAATAGAAAGTAGGTTCTATTTTTAGGAATTTATAGAGTAAATCCAAAAGTAAAATTCTTTCTTTCAGACACAAATATTTAGATTATAACTTTTCTTAATAAAAATCAAACATTATTTGGGGCTGGGGCTCAGCTGTAGAGTACTTGCCTAGCATATGTGAGACACTGGGTTTGATCCTCAGCATTACATAAAAATAGATAAAGGTATTGTGTCCAACTAGAACTAAAAAAAATTTTCCAAAAATCATTATTTGTTCAGATGGGAACATGATATTCTTTTCTGTTTAAATCTGCCTGTGTAACTGCAGAGTGTTTGTGCTTTCTGGGTGCCAGACACTTCTTAACCATAATACCAAAGTTAATTCATTTACTCATAAGAAACTGTGAGTTAGATACTATTATAATCCCTGTTTTGTAAGTAAGAATATAAGACTCACAAAAGTCAGTATAGCCTTTGAATCTTACATCCTGTGTCAAATCTCAACTCTTGTAAGAAAATTTTCCCTATTTAAGCCTCTGTGATTTTACATAAACTGTTAATAGTGCACATGGTTGCATGCCTATAATCCTAGCAATTTGGGAGGTTGAGGCATAAGAATGTTAAGTTGGAGGCCAGCTTCAGGAATTTACTAAGACTCTGTCTCAAAATAAAAATAAATGGACTAGGGATCTACTCAGTAATAAAGTACCCCCAGGGTTCCACCCTTGCACACACACACCCCAGAAAAAAAGTTAACAGCAACTTTTTAGAGTTGTTGTGAGGAGAAAAGTCACATAGTGTATATAAACTCTCTAGAACTATGCTTATGCAAAATAATCTCTCAAGCAGCTATTTATTTCATGTTATATGGTTAGATTATTCATGTTTATAAATGAAAGTGTACCTTTTTTGTTTGTATTGATTTTTCTTTTCAATCATGGATCCTTGTATTGTCTTTTCCTGATATAGGAATAATGCCTCACTATTACCAAGGAGGTCTATTAGCTTTAATGCCACAGGAAAAGCTCCAAACAAAGGATATATTGGTTCAAATCAAAGCAAACTGACTGTATCAAGAAACTTACTTATTCCACCTGAAATGAGATCAATAGAAAAATTGAATATTCCCAACATTAAGACAATACAGGTAATATTCTTGAGAATTCTGGGTTTATTTTAAAATGATATCATGTAAAACTATTGGAATTTTAGAATAATCAACTGATCACTTCAAATATTGAAATATTGATTTGATTAAAATTTTTACTCCATAACATTCCTTACAGCATAATACTAGCAAATGGCTCCTGTAACTCACTATGAATAATAGGAATATTGTAGTAGAATAAGAAAAGTCTACTTAGGACATTAAGAATTATCTGTTGTTAATTATAGCTAATATACTACTGTCATCTACTCTCCTCAGCAATGTACTCTTGAAAATGTCATCAAATTAATTATCAGAATTGTCTCATAACAAAAGACTTTAAAACATTTAATCAAAACATAGCATATATAGAAAAGTGCATAATATTTAACTTTGAATGTATCAGAAAATGATTTTTTAGATGGGACATTAAAATTACAGTCTTTTAAAGACAAATTTGATAAATCAGACTTCATGATTGGATTAATTTGTAGGGCATTTATGCCCTAGGGCATTGTTGAAAATAATAACTGAGGGTGGACAGGGAAAGAGGGGAACAGAACCTTAATGCTGTCAGAACATTCCCAGAGGTTTGTGAGCCCACCCAAACTATACCATCTCACTGAGAATCAACAGCAAAGGGCTATGAAATGAGATGAGGGATATTAGTTTTCTAGGCCTTAACAAGGGACAAGAAATTGTTAAAAAATAATTGAAGTTTATTGTCTCTTAGTTCTGGGAGTCAGAAATTTGAAATCAAGGTGTGCTGTCTGAATGGTACGATTTGTTTCATGTTTCACTTCTAGGTTCTAGTAGTTCCAGGTATTCCTTTCCATGTGGAGGCATCACTCCAATAACATCACACATCACATTATCCCCATGTGTTGTTTTTTTTTGTTGTCCCTCTGTGTATATCTGTTCAAATGTCCCCTTTTAAGGGCAACAGTCGTTGAGCCGTTGGGTTAGTGCTTACTCCAATGATTTGGACTTGATTAAATCTGCAAAGACTCAGTTTCCAAATAAGGTTATAATCTCAGTAAACTAGGACTTCAATATCATCTTTTAATGGATAGTTAATCCATACTAGGAATATAGGCTTCAATAAAATAATTCAACCAATCACTAAACAAATAAGATAATAATAATATCAGGCTCTGAAGAGAAGGGAGGTATCAATACCCAGAGTTACTATAATACATCATCTAAAATCTCCAGTTTTCCACAGAAGTACAGAAAGCACAAACCATGCACAAGAAAAAGCAGACAACAGAAACTGCCAGTGAGAGGGATCAGATGGTCAGATTTAACCAAAAAGATTTCAAAGTAGCTATTATAAATTTGTTCACCAAAGTAAAACCATGATTAAGACAGTAAAGGTGGTGTGGTTATCACCAGAGGAGTTCCAGAGAGGAGGACCTCAACTCAAGATAAGAGGTCCTTGGAATATGTGACAAAAAAATTTTAGCATGTGCCAGTTAAAGACCGGTTTGTTTAAGAAAGTGGATCCACATTCAAGGGAGAATGCTGGCCATCTTGAGAGTGTAAAGGAGAATGTTAGCTACCTTGAAAGTGAAGCTTTTGGGGTAAAACAAGTAATACACATTCATGGGAGAATGCCAGCCACCTCCATAGGGATAGACAGCAAAATCTTGGTCTTGAATTGTAATGTTTACAGAGGGACAGTAGCTCGGAGCTGAACTACAGATGGAGGCAGGATAGGTACATAGACTTTTATCTAAAATATGTAAGAACACTAGCCACTCATCAATAAAGACAAATAACATGATTAAAAATTGGGTATATAATCTAATTGCTCATTTCTCCAAGGCAAGCACAAATGGTCACAAAGTATGTGAAAAGTTGCTTAATATTAATCATCAGAAATTCAAATCATAATTATAACCAACTCACACCCACCAGGATGCTGTAATTAGAGTAAGATAACATTGGTTGGTAAGGATTTGAAGATCAGAACCCTCATACACTGTGGGTGGGAATGTAAAATGATTTGATTAATTTTGAAAAGTGTGTTTTCTTTAATGTTCCTTAAAAGTTTAAACAGTCTTACTTACCTTAGGGCCCAACTCTTAGGTATATATACCCCATGAAAAATTAAAGTGTTCCCAAACAAAGTTGTATATAAATGTTTGTAGTAGCATTATTCATAATAGCCAAAATATGGAAATGGTCCTTCAATGAAAAAATGGCTAAGCAACTGTAATATATCTGTATGATAGATTATTATTCAGGCAGGAAAAGGAATAAAACACTGACGTATATCACAAAATGGATGAATCTTGAAAACATGATAATTGAGACAACCAGTGACAAAATATTCCATGGTGTATTAATCTACTCATATCAAAGTCCAGAATATGAAATCTATAGGGACCTGAAGTATATTAGTGCTGGCCTAGGACTAGGAGACAGACAAGGGTTAAGGGGTCATAATTAAAGGATATAGGGCTTCTTGAAGTGATAAAAATGTTTGGAATTAATTGTGGTGATAGTTGCACTTATCTGTGAAAATACTCAAACTCACTCAATCATATATATTAAAAGCTATTGAAAGAATTAATTAGTGCATATTACATGTAATTTTATTCCAATTTGAACTTTAAAAATTAGATAAAATGGAAAAATTCTTTAAAAGTGGAAGCTATTAGAGAAATTTTATGAGTAATTTGAAAACCTTCTTTCAAAGATAATTCTAGGCCCAGATGGCTTTACTTGTGATACATGCCAAGATATATGGATGAAAACAGAACACAAAATGTGGATGTACTTCAAAACTCATTTTATAAGGGTAGTGTTACTTTGACATTAAACTATGAATGCAACCATATTCTCATAATAATTCATCTATGCAAACATAGATGAAGAAAATAATATGCCAATAAAATAATAGCAAATGCTATTTAATAACAACAAAAATGCATAATATACCATAAGGAACTTGGATTTATACCAAGAAATCAAGATTGGTTTCACATTCAAAAATCCAGAATGTAATTCAACACATTGATAGCTTAAAGGGGGAAGGAAAAAAAAAGAAAAGCATATGGTTATCTCAATACAGAATATCTGGTAATATTGAATATTCATGATTTACACAAAAATTTTAAAAAACTGAGTATCAAGAGGAACTTCCTTAATAGAATTTAGGGTATCTGTTAAGTCCTACAGAAATGATTGTATCAAATGGGGAGACATCTGGGGGGGAAAATGCCACTTCTATCCAACATTTTTGGAAGTCTTAGTTCAATTTGTCATCAAAAAGAAATGAAAGTAAAAACTGGAAAGAAAGAAGCAAAATATTGAGTATTTGTAGATTACTGAATTATCTACATATAAAATTTAAAGTCACCTAGTGAATTATTAATGTTTATTGGATATCAGACTTAAAAACAAAGCAAAAACATATTTATATGAATTTGCATGCAAGCAACAAATAGTTAAAAATCAGATATTTTGAGTAATATTTGTAATAGCACAAAAATGTATCAAGTAATTGTGTAAGAGTATAACAAAAGATGCACATACCAATGTTTTTTACACTAAATATTTTTATTGGGATCCAAAGAATAGAGAGGTTATTTTCATGCATAGAAAGGTCATGTTTAAGTATGTAGATTATGTGAAAATTTTGATTCACAGATCTTTTGCCAGTTCAATCAAAATCTGTATTTTTTATACATTTATCAAGATAATTCTAAAATTTATACAAAAATATTAAAGGCTAAAAATAACAAGGATTCGCCCGGGAGTAATGTACATGGTTGTAATCCCAGCAACTTGCTAGTCTGAGACAGAAGGATCATAAGTTGAAAGCCAGTCTCAATAACTTGGTGAGATCCTTCTCAAAATAGAAAATACAGGTGATGTAGCAGAGTGATAAAGTAATTTTGTGTTTATGAATCTGTATGCTGGTTATGTGTGTGTTCTGTTGAAAAGTCAGCTGTAAATTTATGGGTGTACTGTATATTTTACTTCAACATGGGTTTTAGAAAATATATTGTTTAAGGAAGCACACCATAAAACAACAAAAAGAAGACAGAATTTTAAGTTAATGATTATCATCATCGAGAGACAATGCTATAATCTGGAAGGGTTTAAGACTAGGGAGTGGTTTCTGGAGTTGCTATCAGGGTTCTAATATTTTATGTTAGTTCTGATTACAAGATATTTACTTTATTTAAGTGTGCAGTTCTATTTTAATTACATATTTGTATTTAAAATTTTATGATTAAAAGAATTAAAAATTAGCCAGAAATATGTAAGAAATCGAGAATAAAATATTAACTTAAAATAATGAATTTTTAAAGCCTGTATATACAATAATTAAATAGGCTAAAATATTAACAACTGGATATCTTTCTACCTTTCTTATTTCTCGCAATTAATGTCATCATGTGCTGCATACCAATGTAAGAGTCAATGACAGCATTTATGACAATGATTGGTAAGATTGTAGTGGAACTGAAAAATTCCTATCACCTGCTGATATCATAGCCATAGTAACATTTTAGTGCAAAGCATTACTTAGGTGTTTGTGGTGATACTGATGTAAACAAACCTACAATTGTGCCACAGTTATGTATAGTACAAAATATAATAAGTGTGTTACTGGTTTGTGTATTTACTATGCTAAATACTTTTTATAATTATTTTTCAAAGTTTGCTGTAAAACAGCATGGCTATTATGCCAGCACAGCCTCATATGTTTTGTGTTTATACTGTTTCTTGATTGCACTGAGAGGCCACATTGAGTAATTCACTATACCATCTGGGTTTAGGTAACTACTGTATTTTGAACAATGACAAAATCCACTTAACACTTCTCAGAATATATCCTCATTATTAAGTAATGCATAGCTTATTTATTATATATAGATAAAACATAGATTTTAAAAAATATATGCCTAGTTAAGAAATTTTGTGTATAAAATTTTCTATTATTGTTTTATCTTATCCTATGAACTTTTTTTATAGTAGAGTTGTTTCTATTTTCTAAGTCCTATTATTTAGAAATCCCATCATTTTAAATTATTTAATTTTAAAATACTATTTTCTACAGGTGTTTGATGCAAATGGAATTGATGTTACTCCCCGACCTCTTTATTGTCCAGACCCACATGTTGGTACAGCAAAACCAAGTAAACTACTGACATCACAAGAAGGATCACTTGGATCGGAATTTATTTCTTCCTATAGCCTGTATCAGAATACAGTAAATCCTAGTATGTTAGGGCAGTTTACAAGGTATTGTTCTATTCTTCCTCCTTATATATATATATTGTCTTTTTATTTAAATCTCGTATATATAACTTAGATAGCAGTTGTCTCTAGTTTCTCAGCTAAAGCCTATTTTCCTAGTGTGCCTTCTCTATGTTGCTTATGTTTTAATTAGATGCAGAACTCTGAATGATTTGACTTCCTGCACTCTCACATTAAAATGTTTATGAGCCGGGTGCTATAGAGCACTCCTGTAATCCCAGCACCTTGGGAGACTGAGGTAGTAGGATTTTGAGTTCAAACCTGCCTCAGCAAAAGTGAGGTGCTAAGCAACCCTGAAAGACCCTGTCGCTAAGTACAATGCAAAATTGTGCTGGGGATATGGCCCTGGGGTCAAGTGCCCTGAGTTCAATCCCCGGTAAACCCCCCAAAAAAGAAAAGGTTTGTAAAAAGTATGTAGATTTTACTTAAGAATACCTGGGGAACCAAAATAAGGAGCTAACATCACACAGAATTGATTGCAAATTCTCATTATATACTTTTCCTTATCTTCTTCAGCTTCTTTTATGCTATATTTTTATGGGAAGGGGAGTGGCTTTCCATTTTGCTCCCTTGCCCATGAAATTCCTTATTCTGCTAGGGTTTGATTTCTAGTTTATTTTTGAATACAGAACAAATTACTGCTCTAGAGACTGCCCCCAAGTTTGCCAATGAAAGTCATGGGAAAGCAAGGTAAAACAAAAGAATGTTCCAATAAAGTTGACCCACTCTTTAAGTGGGCAGTTGAAAACTATAAATAAAAAATAAAATTTGTATGATATCATGGAATGGTGTTAAGTTCATATGTTTAAGAAAATTATTTCTGGATTCTTCCATTGATCTCCTGCTGAGTACATAGATGTGTTTTTTATTTAGTTTTGGGAGGATCTTTATAAATTGAACAAATCACATTTTTATGATAGAATTTGAATAATGAGCAGAAAGGAGGTGAAAAATGAAAGGATAAATACTTCAGGGTGAGGCTCTGATGAGCTCTATAAGATTGAGAAACAGACAAGCAATAAAATAATCTTAAGGCAAGAGAGAGAATAGAGATGAAGAGGCTGAGATTGTAGGTTATATTTTGGATTTTTGTCCTAAATACATTGGGAATACATTGAATTTGTTTAAACATACATCTGGCATGTGTTATTCTAAAATATATTTTGAATTACTTTTTATCTAAAGAAGATAAAAAATCAACTTAGTATTTTAAAAGTTAATTTATCAACTTATTTTGACTTATATTGTTGATATGATTATAGTATATTTGATTTCTCCCTTCTGGTAATATATTCTAATTTATATATTGTCCATAAGAACATTTAAATAAATGAGTAATGTTATTAAATGTCAATGTTATTAATATTGCTAAAGATCAGTTATAGGAAGCAGTACCATTTCTAAGTCAAGTATATCAACAACTGAATCAATAGCAGAAGACTTAGAAGAACCATCCTTTAGACGAGAAAGACTATCTAGTTTAACAGGTAATGAAAATACTACTGTCTTTAATTGTACAGTGTCTACTCATTTCCACTGATATTTCTGTTCATACCTTTCCCAAAACTCCTTCAATGAGGTTTTCATACATTTTTAAAGCTATTAAATTATTTTGTCACAATCTGATACCATTATAGAATCCTTCCATGTCTTAATTATATTTATAAATAGGTAGATAGATACTCCCATGGTATCTGTGGTAGCTATTAGAAATCATTTCCATATTTCTTTTTATCTCAAATAACCAACAAATAATAAACATTGGATCCATCACTAAAATAAACACTATGAATCCATACTGATATAAATGAATGAATAAAAGACACAGATTAGACTAATCTTTATGGAAGAATTCTTTTTTCTTTCTTTTTTATTAAAGCGTTATAGTTAACAACATAGTAGTTGGTTGGGTTCATCTTAACAAATTCATATATGCATGCAATTCAATTTTAATTAATTTTTCTCTCTTCTTCCCATTCTCCTGATCTTCTTTTTTGCTCATCTGTTTATTTTTGATTGTTTCTTTCTACTTACACATAAAGGTGAAATTTCTATGGTATATTTACATATTCACATAGCACATTTTTTATTTTAAAAAATTCATTCTGCATTTCCTCCCCCTTTCTCATCCCTCCTCTCCTCCATCTTCTTCTCTCTGATCTTCCCTATGTCTTTATGATACCAATCCTCCCCTCCTCCCCTCCTCCTCTCCTTTATTTTGCTTCTACATATGAGATAAAATATTCAACCCTTGATTTTCTGAAACTGGCTTATTTTACTCAGCAAGATGTTCGTGGGCTGGGGCTGTGGCTCAGTGCTGGAGCACTTGCTTAGCATGGGTGACACATTGGATTCAATCCTCAGCACCACATAAAAATAAATAAATAAAATAAAGGTATTGTGTTCATCTACAACTAAAAAAAAAAAGTTGTTCTCCATTTTGTGTACGTACCACAATTTTTAAATCCATTTGTCTATTGATGGGCATATTGTTGAATTCATAATTTGACTAAATTGTGAATTGTGCTGCTATAAACATTGAGATGGCTATATTGCTACAGTATGCTGATTTTATCAGTTTTACAGAAGATTTCTAGATAAATAATGTAGACATTCCTTCCTCAAGAAGGTGGAACTTTTCATTTTGACTTACTTCTAAAAGAGTACAGTATATATAGTGGGGAGGAGAAGAAGAACTTTAAAGCAGAAAAACCTGACAAAATGGTACTTCAGCCTGGTTGTTAAGGTTAATAAGTGATAAGTCATGTTAATAACATGTACCCTACACATCTGATTAGAATGACAGTTTACCTCAGTAGTCTTCCTCTAGAAAAGCCCATTACTGTGTTTAATATCAAGCAAATCGAAACTGAAGCACATTTTCCAAAATATATGTATGACCAGTATTCCTCAAAACTCAGTTATCAAAAACAAGTCTGAGAAACTGTTACAGTTAGAGGAATCTAAGGGGACACGATGGCTATATATAATGTTACATATCTTGGAGGAGATTCTGAAGGAGAAAAATGACAGTTAAAAACTAAGAAACTTGGAATAAAATATGGACTTTAGATGATAATGAAGTATCCATATAGTTTCTTTAGTTGTATTAAATATGATAGATAGTATTAAAAAAGGAAAACTCAATGCAGGGTATACAGGAACTCTAATATTCTTGCAACTTTTCTTTTTTCATCTTTTATTGGTTTTATTATTTTTTAAATACACAACAGCAGTGGAATTTATTACAATTCTTATTACACATATAGAGCACAATTTTTCATATCTCTGTATATAAAGTATGTTCTCGCCAATTTATGCCTTTATACATGTACTTTGTATTTTTTTGCATTACAATTAATGTAATTGTTTTTTCAAATCTCTGTTTGTATGTAAAGTATGTTGACATCCAATTCAAGTCTTCATATATGTACTTTGTATAATGATGTTCATTACATTCCAACATCCTTCTTGCAACTTTTCTATACATCTGAAACTACTCTAAAATAAGAAATTTATTGATTTTTTAAAAAAATTTAGTAAAACCTTAAATAAGTCCTTCAATGATTCTTATTCATGCTAAAGTTTGAGAACCATTGTTTCGTTGCATAACCAGAAGGAAGTTTATTATTAGGGATGCTTTTAATTTTATTTGTAAGGTAGGGCTCAAACTGCATTTTATGCAGTTTTTCTTTAGATGGCCTCAGTGAATGAATGGTTTATTGAAATAGTTTTGTTTGATTCTTTCTTGCTTCTCATTTGTTTACCTACTCATCTAGTAAGCTTTATTCTTTACCATGCTGTCGTGGTTATGTTTACCTTGCTTCCTTATCTGATTCCTTTAAGCATCTTCTGTAATGTCCATTTAGTGGTCATGAATCCTTTTATTTTATGTTTATCTTGGTGAGTTTATTTCTTTGAATCTGAAGGACAACAGCTGTGTTTTATTAATCTTTTCCATTGCTGTGACCAAAAGAACAAATAAAGGAGGAAAAGTTTATTTGGGGCTCATGATTTCATAGGTTTCAATCTGTAGATGACTGATTCCATTGCTGTGGACCCAAGTTGAGGCAGCATATCATGGGGGAAGGGCCCAGTGGAGGAAAGCTCCTTAGCTCATGGCAGGCTCAGGAGAAGAAAGGGGAGGCGGGGGTCACATGGAAGATGCACCCTTCCAGATCATGCCCTCTATTCCTGTGAGATGCCTTTTCCAGCTACGCCATACTAGTCTATAGTTAGCATTTAAAGTAGGATGAACTGATGAGATTAGAGCGCTCATAGTCTAATAATTTTACCTGTGAATATGCCTACATTTACAGGAGGTTTTGGGAGACACCTCATATCCAAACCATAAAAATCTAGATTTAGTAATTTAGGTTGGTAGTTATTTTCTTTCAGGGCTATTAAGCCATATCATTCCATGCCTTGCCCTTTTGAATTTCTGTTGTGAGATTCTGCAGTTATTCTGATGGCTTGATCTTTACAACTGACTTCATACTCGTTGCTTTTAACATTCTTTCTTTGTTCTATTCTTTTGGCAGTTTAACTGTAATATGTCATGAAGATTGTTTTCTGGTCTTGTCAGTTTTATGTTCTAAATGACTACAATACCTAGATGTCCATGTAATTCCCAAACTTGGAATTTTTCTGATGTTATTTCATTGAATAGGTTTTCTGTATCATTAGCCTGTAGTTTGACTTACTCATCAAATTGTATGAGTTGTATGGTTGATTTTTTAATGTTGTCCCAGAGATCTTGTATGCTCTGTTCACAGTTGTTTTCTATTTTCTCTATTATTCTCTAAATGTGATGAGCTTATTTTCAAATCCTGATATTCTTTATTATTTTTTTTTATCTAATCCATTGATGAGGCTTCCAACTGAGTGTTTTCCAAGATTTGTGTTTGGTTCTTTTTTAGAATCTATATCTCTTATTGAATTGCTCTTTCATAATTCATTGTCTTTCTTAATTCATTCAGTTATTTATTCATATACTCTTTGAATACATTGATTATTTTAAAAATTAATCTTTTGAATTCTTTGTCCTACAGTTCTTTGGAATCAGTTTCTAGGGAGTACTTAACTTTCAGATAAGCCTTATTTTGTTTTTCATATTTCTTCTGTTTCTATGTTGAGATTAATGCATTTGTTGGAATGGAACCTTCTTTCACTTTAAGATGAAGGCCCTCTTTAAATAAGCAGCCTTCTCTTGACCATGTCTGTCAGTTTGTGTGTAGTGTTGAGTTCAATTCCAAATAGAGTTCTTAGTGTAGTTCCCTATGACTTAGGCCATTTAGGGGATTTCAACACTGTGCCTACTGTGCTGGCGCCTAAGTGACGTACTTTCTTTATAGGTCTGTAAGAATGGAGACCTTCTGGAAGTTTAGGCAGGTGTGTTGTTGACATCTGCTTTGGGGTGCACCCTCTCTGATTACTCCTCCAGACTTTTCTGTGTTCTATCACAAATATATTTTCATGATTTTGAAAATTACATTCAACTACTATTTAGTTTTCGTAGAAGAGTATAATTTGTTAAGCCATTCCAAATTTTTGTGATTGGTTTATATTTTTAAAAAATAAATTTTTTTAGGTTATTAAGAATATGTTTTTCTAAGTCTATGGGCCTTCTCTCGAAGAGATTAAGTTCTCTGGAAACTGTATGTTCTTAGTTTCCTAAAGTTTTTCAAGCTTTATTCATCCTGAAGTCCTAAGGATTCCTTCTTTACACTCTTTGATTAAATGAATATATTAAACTCCAACATAATGCCATGTCATGCCTCTTTTTTGTCTACATAACCAATTCCAAATTCACTCAGCCCCAAAACTCTATCCTCAGTAAAATTTTCCATAAATCTTAGACTTCTGACTGTCCTAAATGTTTTTTGCCAATCATTTTCAAAATAATCTTGAGCCTTTTTAATTGATATAGTCAATGAGAACTTCTATTGAAGAAGCTTTGAAGCTCCTATCGAAGATGATTTGAGGTTATCTATAATCTAAATCAAAAGACAATAAGAAGATCGTTGTAGATATAGACTAGAAATTAACTTCAGGGCTTACAGAAGGGTTACATGCTATATCCCCCCAAGTAAACTTATGCCCACATTCTGCAAGAGTAGTACCAATAGTCAGTCAGCGCAGAATCCCTGTTAATATTGTGGAACAGTTATAATGGGGATTTCCTTGGAGTTAGTTATGACTGGATATAAGATTAGTCTAGGCTTGATAGCTACAGTCAGCAAAGAAGACACTTTATGGGCTGTAAGATGCAGTTTGGTTTCAGAGAAGTGGAATATACTATATTTCAAAACATGGGCTGTTCCTTTATCATATAAGCTTCACCTGCAACATATGACTCATCATATATTTTGACAATTAGGAAAAAATGCAAAATAAAAATATGAATTAGTTAATGATTTTTATTATGTATTTCAGATTTACGAGTTATGAGGGCAGTGCCTGAAACAACTATAACAAAAGAAGACCTTGAGAAGAATATAGAGATAATACTTACAGAGTCAGAAATGCTACGATTTTTTGACTTGCCAACAGTTACGATCTCTGTAGAATCTGAAGAAGCTGAGAAAGTAATGTATGTATAGTTCAACTGTCTACATTGCTTCTATATGTCAGATGCTAAAGCAGGGGTTCTGTACCTTGTTTCTATGAAGGGTCGTTGGGGGATTTCTGAATGTACACTAACTGTATGTGCCCTGTGAAATTAGGTTTATATTATATGTAAATTTTCATAGAGGAAAAATCCATGGTTTTACCATATTTAATAATCAGGTGAACTTTTGAAGGTGATAGAGGAGATGTTAATCAATAGGTACAAGGTGTTCTGTTGTACAGTAGGGTGACTATAATTAACAATGTGTATTTCCAGATAGCTGGATGAGAAGATTTTGAATGTTCTCACCACAAAGACATAATAAATGTTTGATATGACAGATATACTACTTACTCTGATTTTACCAAACAAAATCAGATTAAGTAATATATATATATATATTAATCAAAGCACTACATTTTGCCCATATATTTGTGCATATTATTTGTCAATTAACTAAACTTAAAAAATTATGTGACTTTCTAAGACAAAAATAAAGGCAATAAAGAAGTCTCAGTATAGATTTTAACTATATTTTATGCACACATAAATTAAAAAGAAAGAACTGACATTTTTATATTTAAGACTTAAAGGAAAATATTTTGGGGGAAGTAAAGGAGTTTACTCTATTGAAGCAGGTTTTTTTATTTCTCTTTATTAATGAGTATAAATACACTATTAATTCTTGTCTCATATATTTTGATGCTGTATTGTTAGACGCAAACATATTATTGTATGTTCTTGGAGAATTGGCTCTTTTATGATTTTGTAATGCCCTTTTTTATCTCTGTTTTTTTTTCTTGCTCTGAAGTCTTTTCTGTCTGAAATTAATATAGTCTATATAGAGAGAGTATTAATACAATTATTCAGATTATTTCATCCCAAATGTCATTTAAATGTGATTCATAATGCTATAAAATCTATTGCTAAAATAATTTTAGGACATTGCCCTCCCCAAAGTATAAAAAATTATAAAATTATTTGGACTCTAAAGTTTAATAGAATTAGGTCATGAATAACATAGTTTTACCGGCTTATACAAAGTAAGGGAAAGTGTACCTAGGACCCCCAAAAAAGGGGCCTGAGGATGTAGCTCGATAGTAGATGTATGCTTAGAATAATGAGGCTCTGGGTTCAATCCCCAAAATTAACAAAAAGAAAAGAAATAAAAACAACCTAGCTTAGGAGTACAGGGCTGCTTGAGCAACACAGTGAGACTCTATCTCTTTGAAAATAAAGGAGAGAGAAAAGCACCTAAATTATCTTAAGAGATCCTAAATTACTAGGAATGCTGGCTGTTTTCAGAAGCAAACACAAATCTGTGGAGGAAAGCGTACCCCATTCAGGCTCTTACTGTTTCCTCAGATTGAATTTGGTAAAAATACATCAAACCAATAAAGAAACAATTTATTACAAATAAGAATAAACAGAAGTAACAAATCCTAGATCTAGACACTGAGGGCTATGGATAATGATGTTATCAGATATATAATATATGTGTGAAATATTTAAGCAAGAGTTAAAACATCATTAACATTAAGAAACTATCAAATTTATGACTCATGTTTGGAAAAAGAACTTTATAATAAGGTATATTTATATGATTGTTGAAAATAAACAGCAACATGGTAAGCATAATTGATTAGAGATTTAATAAATTAGAAAATAGATGTGGATAAATTATACAAAATAACAAAGTATAAAAAAGTTAAAATATGTTTATGTTTATAGTAGAATAAAATGGTCTGATATATGTCTAATACAGTCAGAAAGAGCAAAACAGAATTAAATAGAGGTACTCAGAGTCATAATGACTTTCTCAACTATTGAGAGACACCATTTCACAGAAATAGGAATAAATAAGAAAGCTATAAAAAACATTCAGTGCATTGTACTACTCCAGAATACCAAATACAAAGAGGATATTTTTAAAACAGAAGAAAAATATAGAAAAAAAAACTTTTATCACTTCAAAGAAACAAACTGACAACACCTATCAGAGGCAAAGGTCACTCAATAGTATAAAGGTATAAGCATAAACTTAAATACTCCTAATAAAATAATCTCAATATATAGAGAACAAAATTGGAAACCTGATAAGTATCATTACACATAGAAGATTTTACCACTTCTCTTAATCATTGATAGGTCAACCAGGAAATAAAGTAGTATATATGCAGAAAATTTGAACAAAATCTTAATGACCTCTGCACTTAACATACCTCTGCCCTCAATAGTTAGAGAACATATTCTTTTTGAGAACATGGAACATCCATGAAACAAGATCTCAAAAATTTTAAAGAAGTAGAATCAAATAGATTAAATTCTCTGACAATGCAGTACAGTAAGAAAAACAACAACAACAACAGTAATATAAGCCACAATTAAAAGACATTCACATATATGCATTTGGAAGTTAGAAAACACATTTCTAAATTCCTCAGAGCAAAAAAAAATAATGAAATTTGTAAAAAAGTTCTAAGAACTGACCAATTCTGAAAATATGCTTTGAGGATGTCACAAAAGTAGTATTTTGAAGGAGTATATAACTTTATATATTTACATTAAAGTTCTATAGAGAACTTATTAAAACCTCTATAGAAATAGTGCTAGTATATTACTGGTGGATACTGAAAGTAGTCCAGATGTTGAGAGGTACAGTGTAAAAGCATCCTTTGGAAGTCAATCTTTTCCGAAGAATATTTTTGAACTCTGACTTCACTTTTTGGTATAGCCACATTAATGATAATAATATCAAGTAAAAATGCATCAAACCAATAAAGAAATAATTCATTATGAATAAGAATAAACAGAAGTAACAAATCCTAGGTCTAGATGCTGAGGACATAAATGGAGAATGGTGACATACATAGAGAATATGTGCAGTTATAATTGATTTTTATTAATGAGTTGGTTTTACTTTATTATTTACAGCCAAGGAAATAAGAATTATGAAAGCCTTTGTAAAAACAGATTAGGCAATGACTTATATGTTGAAAGGATGATGCAGACTTTTAATGGTGCACCAAAGAATAAAGATGTTCAGTGTGATAAAATCATAACAGAAGACAAAGGTAATTTGTTTTATTCTCCTTGATAAACTACTATGTTTTAGTATATGCTCCTTGAGTCTGACAATCAACAAATAAATGTTGAAATATAGACAGCAAAAATAGAATAATTTGGAGAATTCACAGTAATAATTATGTACTTTGATCTATAGTTTTCAGAATTTGAAAAATAAGGTAACAAGTAATAAAGATATAGATTTGAATAACATAACTCAATCTTGATTTTTTGTATACTCTATCATAGTATTCTGTATTCTTCAGTTGTTCATGAAAGATTTATAAATTTATTTTTTAGTATGTCACAAAGAATATCTACCACAATTAACATTTTAAATGTTCTAGACATTATTTTAGGCCCTTCATGTATGTTATCTGGTTTAATTCTCACAACTCTATATGTTAGGCACTATTATTATTGCACATTTTGTAGATGAGGAAATAGGCAAAAAAAAAAAAAATTAGCTAATTTGTTCTTACTCCAGAGCCTATGTTCTTAATGACTGCATTTACTCTCTCAATTTTTACAAATTAATATCCTTGAGAATATTTTATAGCCAAAAATATGTATATAAAAAGTAAACATTTCATTTCAATATTAACTGAGATAATCCCATGGAAATATAGGAACCAGAAAGGCATACCACTATTACAGTAATCTTTCATCATTGTATTGGCATTTTCAACTTTTGTGGTAAGACAAGAACAGATATAGAACATTCCTGTATGACCAAAGGAATACTTATAATGAAGGTTACAGATGATCTTAACTGCCTTTACTACTCAACAAAACTATAAACTAATTTTTAAAAGATTAAAATGAACTTCTAGCAAAAACATTTAATCAGTTTTTAATAAAAACATTTTTATTAATGAATTAGTGTTACACCTAGAGAAACAAAAATTATTAAATCATTTGTAGAAATAGATGAGGCAAACATGTGTATCTTGCCTAATCTGTCTTAGAGGTGGGAGCATTTATTCCCTATTCCTAATATTTTCTTTTATTTGAGAGAGTATAAATGAGTGTGTTCATCTCCACTGTTATTCTCTTACTTATTTCTACCTAGGAATAAAGGTGTGACTTACCTAATTGATCAGTTAGGGAGTAGAAATGTGGATATGCATGATTCCTTGCTTTCCCTTTCCTAGTACCCTGCAGGCAGCAGAAAATATGATTCAGATTGGCTTCTCCAGGCTACAAATTTTATTTATTTATTTATTTATTTATTTTTTCTTATTTTTTTTTTAATTTTTTATTTTTTTTTTATTGGTTGTTCACAACATTACAAAGCTCTTGATCATATTTCATACATTAGATTGAAGTGGGTTATGAACTCCCAATTTTACCCCAAATGCAGATTGCAGAATCACATCGGTTATACATCCACAATTTTACATAATGCCCAATTAGTAATTGCTGTATTCTGCTACCTTTCCTATCCCCTACTATCCCCCCTCCCCTCCCCTCCCCTCCCTTCTTCTCTCTCTACCCCATCTACTGTAATTCATTACTCTCCTTGTTTATTTTCCCATTCCCCTCACAACCTCTTATATGTAATTTTGTATAGCAGTGAGGGTCTCCCTTCATTTCCATGCAATTTCACTTTTCTCTCCCTTTCCCTCCCATCTCATGACTCTGTTAAATGTTAGTCTTTTCTTCCTGCTCTTCCTCCTTGCTCTGTTCATAGTTGCTCTCATTATATCAAAGAAGACATTTGGTATTTGTTTTTTAGGGATTGACTAGCTTCACTAAGCATAATCTGCTCTAGTGCCATCCATTTCCCTGCAAATTCTATGATTTTGTCATTTTTTATTGCTGCATAGTACTCCATTGTGTATAGATGCCACATTTTTTTTATCCATTCATCTATTGAAGGGCATCTGGGTTGGTTCCACAGTCTAGCTATTGTGAATTGTGCTGCTATGAACATCGATATGGCAGCATCCCTGTAGCATGCTCTTTTAAGGTCTTCAGGGAATAGTCCGAGAAGGGCAATAGCAGGGTCAAGTGGTGGTTCCATTCCCAGCTTTCCCAGGAATCTCCAAACTGCTTTCCAAATTGGCCGTACCAATTTGCAGTCCCACCAGCAATGTACAAGAGTACCCTTTTCTCCACATCCTCGCCATCCAGGCTACAAATTTTAAAGAGAGATTACTCAACATGGAGAGGTCTGTAGCTATTAAGCTGTATTTGCTAAGTCTAATTCTAGGATTTATGATTAAGGAGTTCTTTGATGCTACTTTTATTAATAGATTTAAAAATAAAGGAAAGAATCATTCTTTATAGAACTCAAAATTATCAAAACTGCTCAAAAAATGACTGAATTTTACTTGATAATTGAAGTAATGGGAAAGTTTTTACCAAAGAATAATCCCTAACCCCCCTAATATAGCCCACATCAAGGATCTTCTTAGAGGCTTAATCCATAAATATGAGAGTAATTTATAATATGTGTACATTGGGCAGGATTCTTTAGAGAAGTGGAATCAATAAGGTGCACACACACACATGTACACACATAGTCATGCAGTGCTAACCATGTTTCAATCAGTGATGGACCACATATATGATGGTAATTGAATTAGATTATATTATCTAATGATATCATAACTTTCTTAATTTGTAACTGTTTTTAAGTAACATATATCTGTATAAAAAGATTTTTTTTATAAGGTATTGGCTTATATGGTTATGGAGGTTGAGAAGTACCATGAATTATTATTTGTAAACCCAGGAAAACTGACAGTATGGTTTGAAGGCCTGAAGATCAGAGTACTAATGGTGTATATGCCAGTCTGGCTTTGAAAACCTTAGAATGAGGAGTACTTGCCGCAACCCGGCTGGGCACAGAATCACAAGCCGCTCGAGCAGAAACAAAGTTTTATTTTAAAAAGGCTGCCAGTGACCCGTGTGCGCCCCGCTAGCAAGCTGGTCCACACACGTGGCTGCGTCTACTGGAACCGGGGGCCGGACCTCCCCCGGAAATACCCTCCTACTATCCTTCCCCAACCAATGGGAACTCTCCGGGAGTCCTGTAACATGAGTCCTGTAGCAGGCGAGGTGAACAGCAGGAGTCCAATTTCCATATGAATGTAAATCTTAACATAATCAAATCATCTCAATGACTAGCTGGCAGTCACCTAAACCAAAGGTGCCATGTATCATAATACTTTTTCTGTGGCTCCTAGCAAGTACTGAGGGCAGAAGATTAATATCTCTTACAAAAAAATAAAAAGCATTTAAAATATTCAGATTCAGTCTTGATATAGTTATCTGTAAAGACATAGTAGGATCTTTCTTGATAAAATATTTGAAATAAAAAGTAAACATTTTGTTTCAACATTAACTGAGATAATCCCCATGGAAATATAGGAACCAGAAAAGCATACCACTATTATAGTAATCTTTCATTTGTATTGGCATTTTCAACTTTGGTGGTAAGACAAGAACAGATATAGAACATTAATATTCTTTGTTTTTGTGGGGGTGGGGTACTGGGGATTGAACTCAGGGGCACTCAACCACTGAGTAACATCCCAGCCCTACTTTGTATTTTATTTAGAGATAGGGTCCCACTGAGTTGCTTAGTGCCTCACTTTTGATGAGGCTGGCTTTGAACTCATGATTCTCCTGCCTCAGCCTCCCGAGTCACTGGGATTATAGGAATGTGCCACGGTGCCTGGTGGAACATTAATATTCTTAAGGAGAAAACCAAGAGATCATTATTTGTATGAAATATTAATATCTATTTAGGACTTTATTAATCAGCTTTTTGCTGTTGTGACAAATGCCTGAGATTATTAACTTATAAGTAAGAAAGATTTATTTTGGATACATACATATATGTATATAAAATCACCTGGCGCTGGTGTTTTGGGCCTATGGTGTTAGGATCATGTGGAAGGAGAGCTCTGTTCACCTCATGGCAGACAAAAAGCAAAATACAAAGGAGAGACCAAGCATCCCAATATCTCCTTCAAGAACATTCTGACTGACTAAACTCCTTCCAGTAGGTCCCACCTTCCAAAGTTTGCACCACTTCCCAATAGTGCCATATGCTGGTTACCAATCCTTTAACACATAGGCTTTTGAGGCTATTCTAGACCATAGCAGATACCTCAAGAGCATTAACTGACAAATAGTCTTATGAGACATTAGCAAAGATGGCAGAATAGGTGGTTCCAGCAATATGTTTCTCCAAAGAAATGTCAAAAAAAAAAAAAAGAGAAAAAATGAATTCTTGGGGTTGGGGATATAGCTCAATTGGCAGAGTGCTTGTCTCGCATGTACAAGGCCCTGGGTTCAATCCCTGGCACCACCAAAAAAAAAAAAAAAAAAAAAATGGAACTGTTGTCAGAACTCTAGAAAATAGTCAGAAGTCTATAGCAACCAAGCAAGAGCTGAATCAAGAAAAAAGCAACTTAATATGCAATAAAGGAAGTATTCAGAAAGCTAATCCGAGAACTTACGTAATGAAATACATTGGTACTAGCTTTAAATTCCTTCAAAACTTTGCTAGATCTTTCAAAATTGTGACATTAAAATGTTGAAGGAAAAGTGAGTTCTAAAGAAGTAAATTGTAGGTAACATAAAAGATTTATTAAAAGCACCCCATTAACTCTTAGCAATAAACGACAAAAGCCGTTTAACATTGTTAGGAAATTTTTGTGGCATCTTCACTTATTTTTCCTCACTCCCTCTAAAGTGGTGGTCTTTTTGTGTGTGTTTGTGCAAAGAATTGAACTCAGGGGTACTCTACTATTGAGCTACATCCCAAGTTTCTTTTTATTTTTTGAGACAAGCAATTGCTAAGTTGCTCAAACTTATGATCCACGTCCTCCAGCCTCACGTGTAGCTGGGATCAAAGATGTGTGCCACCATACCCCGCATAGTGGTAGTATTAAAGGCAGTAACCCACCTTTGCAGTGTGAGATCTTGGCCTATCTTATTCTCGAAGGGAATCTTATCTCAAAGAATTAAGTTTGTTTTCTTTAATTGTCTT